TGAGGAAGAGGCGGGGGGGGGGGGGTCCTCTCTGCCATCCCCACCCACCATGTCCTCTGACCCCCTCCCCGGCCTGCCTCTTGCAACTAGGGGTGCTGTAGTATGCCTCTGTCAGAGACAGAAGCAGTCAAAATACTAAGGGCGGGTCACCCACAGGTGGTAGGAGTTAGTGGCTCGAGCCAAGAAGGGACTGGCCGTTCCTTTGGCCCTGGACTTCTCCGCTATGATAAGGCCAGAGGCCTGGAAGCAGGACTTAGGGGCTGAGTAGCCAGGGGCTCTGACTTCAGAAGCAGGAAGAGCCAGCCCTTGGAGGCGGCTGAGGCAGGAGCTATAGATATACAGAGGCTTCCGGGGTAGCATCCCTGGTGTCCGGAGACGCTGGGTCCCACTACCAGCAAGCCTCCCCCACCCAGATAACCAGAAGTGGCTGAACTCGGCAGAGAGAAAGCCACAGAGCGTGGGGGACTGCAGGAGGGCAGCCATGCAGTGGCCAGACTTCCTGGCAAGAGGAACCAGACGTGGCTCCAACAAGTGCCTCCTTCCTCCTGAGAAGGGGCTTTTGGATGGGACGTGGGTGGGGGTAAGTTGTTAACAACTGTGGGTAACCCGCATGTCAGGGTGAGGTCCTCATGGCCCCGGACCGTCCTGCCTGCCCCTCGTGCCTGCCCAGCCTTCTTATAATCACCCGCCACTGTTAGTGACCGAGGCCGCGATGCCACACTGTACCCGTTAAATCTCCAACAGGTCCGCTGGAGGAGGGAAGGGGAGGAGGAGAGAAGGGGCAGGATCCAGGGGTGGGGGGAGAGCACAGGGTGAAGAGGGAGGAGGGGTGGAGGGGCGCAAGGAGAAAAGGAAGAAAAATTAAAAAGAGGAACGTGCCCAGGACACAGCCCATGAGAAATAAAAAGCTCAGGAAAGCAATCAGTTGAAAACAAAGCTCCTACGCAGCCCGGCGTGGGCGCGGCTGAGTGGCGGAGGAGGTGGCACACGGGCAGGCTGGGCCTCCCCAGAGAGGCAGAAGGCCCCACCACAGCCCAGTCCAGCGGCGCGGGCAGGAGCAGGGAAGCTGGGCCCCTGGCCAGCCATCTGGGACCCTCGGGAATGCAGATCCCACCCCCTGTCCACCCCTTCCCAGGCCCCTGCTCTCACCTGAGCCTGGTTCACCAGGGGGCACTGTCCTGCCAATGTTAGGCAGGAGGTACTCGATGTTTGGCACTGACTGAGGCTCCCTGTCGTCCACAGGGGTCTGCAAACAGAAGGAGGGTCAGCCAGCACAGCCTCAGTTGTCTGACTGCAGACCCGACGGAACGGGGAACCCTGAGGACAGGGCACAGGTCTCCATCAGACCGGGGCTCACCCGTGCAGGGAACGTCTCCTTCATCAGCCAGGCACTCGAGTGCAGGTCCTACATGTCCGCCGTTAGACTGTTTTGTGCCTTCCCCCACACCTTGGTTGAACCCTAAAGGCCGGAGCTGTGACTCCCTCATCAGACTGGACCTTCCTAAGCCCTCTATCCTCCTCGTAAGATTGGAGGACAGGGTCTGCCTTTGCTACTGGACTAAGTTTCCTTAGGGCAAGGCCTCTATCTCCCCCTCAGACTGGGGCTCATGAAGGTGAGGACTGTTGTCTCCCATCAGATTGGAGGCTCCGGAGGAGAGGGCTTATGTTCCTTCCATCAGACTGGGATGTCCCAAGGGCAGGGACCTTCCCCTGCTTGAGTCTTGCTGCCCACCCCTCCCACCTGGGTCGAGGGCCCACCATTGACCAGACCCCACCCCACGGGCCCTCTGCATCACTCACTCTCTCTCCCTTGTCCTCGTTGTCGCTGAAGAACCAGTCTGACTGCAGAGGAGACAAAAGGAAGTGATGGAATCGGCGTGGGAAGGAGCTGAGGGAAGACAGGGAGACACGGGCTCCCAACCTGCTCAGTTCAGAGGACCCACTCAGGCACCTGATGGAAAAGTCTGGACCCCAGTGTGGAAAGGAAATGCAGCCTGGAGTGGGAGAAGGCCTGAGCACAGATAGATGACTGGTTCAGGGAGAGCTTTTCTTTGCCTGTTTTTCACTAAACACAGTCCCCTGCACATCACCTGAAGTGAAGGGGCAGCAGCGCCATCTAGTGCCAGCCAGGTCCACTGCGGGGACAAGGCCAGCCGCGGTGGCTGTAGCTGCATGTACCCGACACCAGCCTAGGCTCCACACTGACAACAGGGGTGGAACCCCCCCACACCCCCGTAAAAGGCAAGTGCCTAGAGGGAGGTGTTAGGAGGTTCCCTGAGGGGCAGGCAGGCAAAGTTTTCTCATAAATGCCAAACAGAATAGAAAATAAAGTAATAATCCCACTCAAATATATTTTGTGAAATTTGAGAATCTTGAAGACAAAACTCTAAAAGTTGGGCTTCCCTGGTGGCGCAGTGGTGGAGAGTCCGCCTGCCGATGCAGGGGACACGGGTTCGTACCCCAGTCCGGGAAGATCCCACATGCCGCGGAGCGGCTGGGCCCCTGAGCCATGGCCGCTGAGCCTGCGCGTCCAGAGCCTGTGCTCCGCAGCGGGAGAGGTCGCGGTAGTGAGAGGCCCGCGTACCGCCAAAAAAAAAACACACAAAAAAAACACCTCTAATTCTAAAAGTTTTCTGAGGAACAAAAACAGATTGCTTACACGTGAACAAGTATCAGCTTTAACTAGAACTTTCAGCAGCAACAGACACAAGAAGACAAGGAAGTAATATTTTTGATGTGTTTCTGAACTACAAGTGCAGGGATTTTGAACCTAGACCTTTATACCTTGCTAAACTCTCATTTAAATTTGAGTGTGAAATAAAGCTATTCTAAGACGTCTGGAAGTTTGCTACACAAAGACTATCCTAACCGAGTACATGAGCAAGTAAAGAAATGAATCCAGGATGGAACAAGAAGTTCTAAGAAGTAAGGATGGATAATAGCGTAGAAAAGTCAACTGTCATCAAACTAAGCAATGATGCACACACACATGTACAAACACAGACAAAGTATACCCATGACAATCTGGAATTCAAATGCAGAGGGAGTAACCAGTGACAGGTGAAAGTACACTAAGCTACTTGGCTTTTAGATGTGGTGGAAGGAAGATGTGGATATTGATAAGCTTTAGAAATTGATAGTAAAAATTAAACGTAACTACAGGCTTTTGCAATTGTATCATTCAACGTAAGTATGGGTTTTATAAATTAGGTAAGTTTTATATCAGGAAAGTAAAATGAACCCATCCAAAGCAAGGTAGAAAAGACCAAAAAAAGGAAATAAAATGAAAATGTAGTAAACAGAAAATGACATTTAAGATGGCAGAAATAAGCCCTGACAGGGACTTCCCTGGGGGCGCAGTGGTTAAGAATCTGCCTGCCAATGCAGGGGACACAGGTTCGAGCCCTGGTCTGGAAAGAACCCACATGCCTCAGAGCAACTAAGCCCGTGCGCCACAACTACTGAGCCTGCGCTCTACAGCCTGTGAGCCACAACTACCGAGCCCATGTGCCACAACTACTGAAGCCCATGTGCCTAGAGCCCATGCTCCGCAACAAGAGAAGCCACCGCAATGAGAAGTCCATGCACCACAACGAAGAGTAGCCCCCGCTCGACGCAACTAGAGAAAGCCTGTGTGCGGCAACAAATGCAATGCAGCCAAAAATTAAATAAATAAATAAGTCCTGACAGTACAGAAATTACAAAAAAGTAAATGAGCTAAGCTCACTAATTGAAAGTTAAAACACACAGAATGTTATATATATTTAAGGATATCCTTATACTTAAAATTAGCATCTAGAAGGTGGATTGAAAATACACACATTAACCTATCAGAGTGGTAATTATTGGGGGGTGGGCAGAGTGGGCTTTGGAATGAGGCGGGGAAACAAGGAGACTTGCAAGGTTGATTATGACCTTGGGCCATGAACCTCAATTATTATTCATCATAATCAGGCATATGATTAACTCAAATAAGACAGAAGAGAAACAAGAGACAGAAGAGAAAAGAGAGATAGAGGATGAGGGAGAAATGCAGAATCTGGAGTCAGCTTCGGGCTCAAGTCCACATCGGGTAAATTACCTCTCTATTTACTTATCTTTAAAATGGGCATAACGTATGAGTATCTAATTCTAAAACTGTGGTGAGGATTAAAATAAAATACTGTATGGCTGTTATCTAAAAGACAGGAAATAAATAACGAGCGTTGGCAAGGATGTGGAGAAAAGGAAACCCTCCTCCGCTGTTGGTGGGAATGTAAATTGGTGCAGCCACTATGGAAATCAGTATGGAGGGTCCTCAAAAAATTAAAAATAGAACTACCATATGACCCAGCAAATCCACTTCTGGGTATTTATCCGAAGGAAACAAAAACACTAACTTGAAAACATACATGTGTCCCCATGTTCGTTGCAGCATTATTCACCATAGCCAAGACACGGACACAACCTAAGTGTCCATCGATGGATGAATGGATAAAGAAAATGTGCATGTACTGTATGTGTGTACACACACACACACACACACACACACACACACACACACACACGCAGTAGAATATTATTCAACAATTTAAAAAAGGAAATCGGGCTTCCCTGGTGGTGCAGTGGTTGAGAGTCCGCCTGCCAATGCAGGGGACACGGGTTCGTGCCCCGGTCTGGGAGGATCCCACATGCCGTGAAGCGGCTGGGTCGGTGAGCCATGGCCGCTGAGTCTGCGCGTCCGGAGCCTGTGCTCCGCAACGGGAGAGGCCACAACAGTGAGAGGCCCGCGTACCGCAAAAAAAAAAAAAAGAAAGGAAATCTTGCCATTTGCAACAACATGGATGAAACTTGAGGGCATTATGCTAAAGTGAAACGAGACAGAGAGGGACACTGTATGATCTCACTTATATGTGGCATAAGAAACCCCCAAATTATCCAAGTTCATAGATGCAGACAACAGACTGGTGGTTGCCAGAGGTGAGGGGGTGGAGGGTGGTTGAGATGAGTGAAGGCAGTCAAAAGGTACAAACTCCCAGTTATAAAATGAGCAAGTCCTGGGGATGTAATGTACATCAAGGTGACTAGAGCTAATAACACTGTACAGTATATTTGAAAGTTGCAAAGAGAGTAGATCTTAAAAGTTCTCATCACAAGAAAAAAGAACTTGTCACTGTGTGTGGTGATGGATGTTAACTAGACTTATTGTGCTGATCATTTCACAATCTATACAAATATTGAATCATTATGTTATACACCTGAAACTAATATAATGTTGTGTGTCAATTACATCTCAATTTAAAAAAACAAAAAAGAAATACCATATGTAAAACATTTAGTTCAACACATTAATGTATAATAAATGTTAGCTATTATTATTATTATTTTTTTTTGCGGTACATGGGCCTCTCACTGTTGTGGCCTCTCCCGTTGCGGAGCACCGGCTCCGGACGCGCAGGCTCAGAGGCCATGGCTCACGGGCCCAGCCGCTCCGTGGCATGTGGGATCCTCCCGGACCGGGGCACGAACCCGTGTCCCCTGCATTGGCAGGCGGACTCTCAACCACTGCGCCACCAGAGAAGCCCAATGTTAGCTATTATTAATAAAAGGTGCAGTCCCCGGAGACAGGCTGACCAGAGGGAGCCCTAAGAAGCCAGCCTCTAACTCGGATTTGAGGGAACCTAAAAGTGCTCTGGGAACCTGGAAGTCTACAGGAAGCTTCCGGGTAGCCCATGGTTCTCTGGAAGAATTCATGCTAGCTCATGCCACCCTGCTTTTGCCCGTGCTGTTCCCTCTGCCTGGAACATTCGTTCTCCCTTCTCTGCCTGGCTAAATTCTTTGTGTCTTTCAAAAACTCCCTGACTATAGTCCCAGCTCTATGCCCAGGGCTGGGTTGGGTCTTTCCACGGGGCTTCCCTGGACACAGCCCAGAGCATGAAGAAGTGATGTCTTCAGAGCAGGGCCTGAGTTCCATTCATCTCTGTGTTCCCAGCACCTGCATTTGTGTCTGGCATGGAATGACAATGTTGGTGGTGGTGGTGATGATAGTTAACTTTTTGGGCGGGGGGGGGACGGTGGCACGCCGTACAGCTTGTGGGATCTTAGTTCCCCAACCAGGGATCGAACCTGGGCCCCTGGCAGTGAGAGTGTGAAGTCCTAACCACTGGACCGCCAAGTAATTCCAATAGCTAACTCTTATATAACACTACCTAACCAGGCACCATTTTAAGTGCCTTACAGATAACAACTCATGCAACCCTCACAATAACATTGTGAGGTAAGTACTATTATTATCTCCACTTTCCAGGTGAGGAAATGGAGGCACAAAAAGAATGAGTACTTGTCCAGGGTCTCACAGCATATAAGGAGCACAGCCAGGGTTCAACCTCAGGCAGGCTGGCTCCAGAGGCAGTGCCCTGAACCTCTACCCCGGTGCTTCTCAACTGGGGCGACTCTGCCCCCCGAGGGGGCATTTGGCAATGTCCAGAGACATTTTCAATTGTCACAGGTGGAGGGATGCTCCTGGTATCTGGCCAAGAGATGCTGCTAAACATGCTATAAGCCACAGGACAGCCCCCAACAAAGAAGAATGATCTGGCCCCAAAGGTCACTAGCGCCAGGCTGAGAAATCCCAGGGTACACATAGTAGGAATCACCACGTGTGCCGAGTGAATAAATGAAGAAATGCCTTGGCACAGTCTTCATTTGGGTTCCAACTGACTTAGTAAACCAGAGTACGAGCTGGCTGCTGACTTGCTGATGGGCAGCTGAACAGCTGGGTTTGCTCATCTCCACTCTGCCATTATCTTGCCATGTGACCCCGGGCAAGTCACTGCTCCTCTTTATGCCTCAGTTTCCACCCTCTGTACAATGCAAGGTCAGCTCTGCTGCCTTAAGGCCCCTTCCAGCTCTGCTGTCCAAGAGTTCCACAGAAACCAGGGGTCCTAGGCAGGGAGGCCAGGTGATGGTTGCAGCTGAAACCCCCAGCAGGAGGTCATGTCGCCCATGAACTCCAACCGTCCACTGACTGGCCAGGGGTTCAGAGCCAGAGCCAGAGCAGTCTCTGTCACAAGTCCCACCCTGCCTGAGCTCGTGACTACACTGGTCCCTGGCTACAGAGCCTCTTAGGTGGGCGGGCTCAGTGGGCTCAATGTGAATTGAGGGGGTAGCTCATTCCCTCGACAATAGTCCAGGGCCGATTATGTGCTAATGCCAAGGGGGCAGAGAATGGAGGGTTGCACGCTCAGTTAGTTCCCAGGAAGGAATCCCTCAGTGGGAAAGCCCAGACTGGCAATAACCTCAACAGCAATTCATTCATTCATTCATTCAACAAACACTGAGTGTTCGCCATGTGCCAGGCTCTGGGCTTGGTGCTGGGATTACACCTATGAAGGAGACTGATGTGCTCCATATCCCCCAACCCTGCCCGGAGAAGGAGCCGCCGTTGGCTGGGGACTTCCCCCAGGACCCTAAGGGAGGGTAAGTGGACACACTTCGGGCCTTCCTTCTCCCTGAAGACTGCTGTTCCTGACATCCCAGCTGACCACAGGCCTTGGGCTTCCTGGGACTTCACTAGGAGCCAGGGCTTCACTCCTAGCTTCACTAGGAGCCTCTTCCCCACTGCACAGGCCTTGGGCTTCCTGGGACTTCACTAGGAGCCAGGGCTTCACTCCTAGCTTCACTAGGAGCCTCTCTTCCCCACTGCCCCCGCCCCCCCGCCCCACAAAGCATACACTCATGGGCACCCCAACGGCTCCCTGTTGGTTTGGGAAGCTGAACTTTTCCAAGAGAGATAGGCTTCCCCAGACCAAGGCCACATCAGGATCCCTGACATTGCTCACCAGCCCTGGCCTCCCTGACAGCTCTGGAGTGGGCCTCCGGGCTGGTGATCCCAATGTTAGAGTGCAAACAGGCCTCGACATACCCTCTTATGGCTCAGAGCCCTGACACGTGGTCAAGGAAGGAAACAAGCAGACAAGGCCAGCCAGCATGACCAAAGCCCACCCATGGCCTCACTTAGCTAACTCTGACCAATCTCCCTCACTCCAAAGCCCCCAGGAGTCAGACCTCCCAGTTGGTTGGGGAGTAAAGCACAGGCTTTGGTCAAACAGTCCTGGCTTAAAATCCCGGGGCTGCTACTTATGAGCTGTGTGACCTTGAGCAAATCACTTTGCCTCTCTGAGTCCCCCAGTTTCCTCATCTGTAAGATGGGAGTAACATGACCTGGTTTCCCTTCCCTAAAGTGTCTATGAGGTGGGGGAGGCTGAGGTTTCCTTTCCCTTGACCAGCTGCCAATCTTATTTCTCCTGGCAGGAGGGTTCTGGTTCCATTCTTTGTGGACTAGACCACAGGCCACACCAAGATCTGGAAATGGAAAAATCTATGATTCATAAAAACATCCCTGAGGGCCCCAGAAGCGGGTGGTGCTGCCCTGGGTTTGGCTCTGGAAAACCAAGGTCTCCTGCGCCCTCTGCTGGCCACTCTGGGTTCTCATCCCGTGGTGGATAACAATAAGAATTCTTAAGAAACACCAGGCTCTTGGGGCCTCCAGGCAGCTGTGAGAGGAAGGTGACCAGCCCAAGACACACTGAACATGCAGCCAGGATCCTGCCCCAGCCCATCATCCGTCCTGTGACATCCGCCTCCCCCTATCCCGGGCATCACCATTTTCTCCCTGCAGTCTCAAGTGGGCCTGCAGGGAGAGCTCTGTCCCTACCTCTGCCCCTGTCTGCCCCTTTCTGCCAGGACACCTCTCCTGGGGGGCCACCTTCTGAAGGCATCCCTTCTTTCACCCCTTCTGCCCTTCAACCCGGCAGCACCCTTCCCTGACCTTCCTCCTCCCTCCGACCCTCACATGCATCTTGGAAGCTCAGGGCCTCCTGATTCTCCTGCTGGGTATGCAATATCCCAGAAAGACGGGGATTCGGGACCCATTCCCGTCTGGCCTTAAAATGCAGCCTACTGCTTCTGAAGGGCATCCACCATCTCAGCAGCATTTTATTCAGCTGCCTCATCCTTCCCTGAGCACATCCACCCAGGCAAGCGGGAGCCAGGTGCCCAGGGGGACTTGGGCCAGGGCAGCTGCTTACGTGCTGGATCAGCGTCTCTACAATCTTGTAGCGGTCAGGCATGTGGGTCACCATGTCCGCCATGTTGTCCTCGGACGTCCTCACCAGCGTTGGCCCAAAGACTAGGGCCAGGTTCCGGGGCTCCATCTGGGCAGGGGAGGGAAGCGGATGAGCATCAACACCCCTGTGAGCTCTGACTTCCAGTACCCCAGGCCTCCCTCACTCTGGGCCCTCAGGCCCCCAGCCCGACCCCATCCTGAGCTGACCCTGGCTTAGGGGCCGGATGCCTCCTTGCTGGGCATGGAGGTGCCTGGTAAGTAGAGAACAGGCCAGCTTTCAGCCCCACTCACGCCAGTCCCGGCACTCATGGGCAGTTCCCCACCTGCACACCCACACTGTGCTTGCTCGCAGTGGGAGAAGCCAGAGTGAGGACCCATTGGAAGTTCCAAGGGTGTTTTAGGACCGGGAGGAATCCTATACCTCCCCTCATTTCCCCCACCCCTCCACCGCAGAATCAGAAGATATAAGGGGTTTGCTTAGGAACAGGCAACACAAGGGATCTGAGCTAGATCAGAGGATAGATCTCCATCAGACCCAGGGCTCTGAGGCTCTCTGCCTCAGAGGGAAGACCCTCAGAAATTCAGGAGATGGCTCTCCAGGGAGAAGCACAGGCCAGTATGCAGGGAAGGGGTGGGGACAGAACAACACTTAAGAAGGAGGGCATGGCCAGAGGAGCTTGAGATGATCTAACCTGGAGGAGCTTGGAATATGCTGAGGAGGGACTTCCCTGGTGGCACAGTGGTTGGGAGTCCGCCTGCCAGTGCAGGGGACACGGGTTCGAGCCCTGGTCTGGGAAGATCCCACATGCCGCGGAGCAACTAAGCCCGTGCGCCACAACGACTGAGACCACGTGCCACAACTACTGAAGCCTGCGCACCTAGAGCCCGTGCTCTGCTACAAGAGAAGCCACTGCAAGGAGAAGCCTGCACACCACAAAAAAGAGTAGCCCCCACTCGGTGCAACTAGAGAAAGCCCACACGCAGCAACAAAGACCCAACACAGCCAAAAATAAATAAATTTATTTAAAAAAAAAAAAAAAAGAATATGCTGAGGAGACCCTGGTAGGCTTCCCTCCCCCACACCTCACATCAGGGCCTCCACCCACCTTGTTTTTCTCCGAGTGGTCAGCTATGGTCTTCAGATGGCTCACGAGGAATTTGAGTGTTTCATAGTAATGTCCTGGGAGATCCCGGATCTGGGTGGGAGAAAGAAGGGGCGTGGGACCAGGGTGTGATGACCTCCGCCTCCCCACCATACCCCAAAGGGGCTCCGCTGCCATATCTCAGCGGGTCTGGAATCCACCCTCTAACTGCCCCCCCTCGCATAGATGGAGAAACTGAGGCCCTGAGGGGAGGAGGGCTTGCTGAGGTGCTCGCCCCGTGCAGTCTGCCCTTTGCCCAGCAGCACCCCTCTCCTCACCAGCTTCCGCAGAGTCTGCATCCGCTCCCTCGAATCTTCAATGCGATTGGCCTCGATGAAGTCACTGTATTTGTCTAGAACACAGTGAGAACTCTTTAGAGAGGTGGGCCTCCGGGCTGAGGAGGCCCTGCCGGGAGGTCAGTGTTTTGTGCCGAGGCTGTTCCAGTTTGGGGGGGACTCTGTGGCCTTGTGTTCATGTGACCAAACCCACCACGGCAGCCCTCAGGTGCGCAGCTGACCTGGGATAGCCCAGGTGTGTTCGTTTGGGAAGAAATAAGATCTCAGCTGCCTACTGATCCTGGAAAAGGGGTCCCTGCCCCAGCCTCCAAGGACAAGGACACCACAAGGTTGGAAGAGAAAAGAGAAGGTTACCTAGAAAGAGGGAGGGGTCTTTCAGCCTCCAAATACCCTTCCCCCTCTGTGTCAGCGTTCCCCCAACTCCCTTCAGAAAAAGTCCATGGGCAACTTTAAAAAATGGGATGTGTTAAGTTTATCCTAAAATTCATCTGGAAGAATGATGAGGGAGGATTTTCCCTGTTAGATACTGAAATGTACTAAAAAGACAGCACAGCTAAGGCAGGTGATGAAGGATCGGGACAGATAAAGGCAGCACTTCAAGTCAGTTATTTTGCTGGGAAAATAAATCTACTTCTAGCTCACATAATACACAAATAAATTCAATTGCATGACAGAGCCAAAAACAGAAGTTATTAAAATATTGGGGGAAAATAAGAAAATACTTTTATAATCATAAGGCATTCTTAAACATGAGATACCGAATCCATTAACGGTTAACAGCTTGACTATACATAAAATAACTGTTTTCAATTTCCATACTGAAAAGTTAAAAGGCAATGGCAGACCAAGTGCAAATATTTACAAAAACTAATAAAGGGTTAATATCCATAATGTACAAAGAGCTTGTCTCCTACAAATCAATAGGAAAAAAGACCAAGAACCCAGTAGCAAAATGGGCACATAGTCTGAACGAGCAGCTACAGAGGAAAGGGTACAGGCCAATAAACTAATGGAAAGATAGTTAATCTCTAAGTAACGACAGAAATGAAAATGGTAACAATAGTGAGATGCCGTGTTCTCTCTCTGATCAGCAAAAGTTTAAAATATTAATAACATCCAGTGCCGATGGGGATGTAAGGAAGCAAAATCTCTTACGCTGCTACTGAGAGTGTAAACTAGGGCCGCCTCCCCAGAGTACAACTTGACTTTAGCTTTCAAAATGTTTTCCAGGACTTTAAGCCAGCACTTCCATGTCTATGAATCCACCTCCGGGACCCTGGTCCAGGTGTGCAGGAACGTAGTCAAGGAAAGTCACTGTAACACGTTTCGAAATAGCAAAAATGCGAAGACAACCTAAATAGCTAGCAGTAGGGGAGTGATTAGACAAATTACAGTCTATTCAGGCTATGAAAAACTATGTGGTTGATTTAAAAGAAGAATGAGGTAGAGCTCTTTGTACTGACACGAATGAATCTCAAAATTATAAGCCTCCTTCTGTTAAGAACTCAAGCAGTGGTGTGCTGGAGCCACTCGCCCTCATGGGCTTCTGACAACCAGCTGTGTTTGGCTTTCATGTTGGTGACAGCAAATTGGGAGCTTGAAATCAGCCGTGGTGGGAGTATTTATACCATGGGAACTGGAAAATGCTACACATCACGGCTTTTTTCCCTTGAGAGCCAGATGTGAAACATTTACCAGTGCGCCACTGAACCCACCCAACTTTAAGCCCTACATATGCGAGTGTGTCTTTGTCACACGTGTTAAGAGGGTCTGGAAGGAAACGCAATGCACTGTTAATAAGCAGCTCAGCAAATGGTCAAGAGCTGGGCTCTGGAGCCAGATGCCTGGGGCTGAACCCTGGCTCTGACACTTACAACCTCTGTGACCTTGGGCAAGTCACTTAACCTCTCTGTGCCATAGTTTCTTCATCTACAGAGGGGAAATAATAGTACCTACATCATGGAGTTGTAGGGAGTAGTGCCTGGCACATAGCAAATGCTCAGAAAGTGTTAGGATAACCTCTGCGGACAGGGAATGGGAGGATGACAGGGACCCTTGTGTTTACTTGATTCGTATCTGTACTACCTAAGTTTTTTACAAGCATGTGTTTCTTTTGTATTAAAACAAAAACCCCAAAAGTAAAACCAACACACCCAATTTAAAAAGTGGTCAGGATGCAGCCTAGACAGGTATTCCCTCCTCCTCCCATCTTCCACTTCCACCCGCTACTCACCATCGGTGAAAAGAGGCTCAGGTAGCTTTCGGAAGAAGGACTTGAGCAGGCTGCTGATCACGTTGAGGTCTTGCCAGCGCTGGGGAGGGGGCAATGACATCAGGCCACTGGTAGGGCCCTGCCCAGGTGCCCACACCTCCATGCCTGTCCAGCCCTAGAGCCCAGTCCGGCCCGGCTTGGGCCCTCCCTGGGACCCACTCATAGCCAGCTCTCCCCAGACCAGGACTGTCTGGGCTAAGACGACTCATCACAGTAGAACAGAGTCTCCCGCTAGGTCCTAGCCCCTCACCACCTGGCCCCAGCACCCCCCTGCTCCAGCCAGCCCAGTGGGCTCGGACATTTGTCCACGCAGAGAAAGAAGCAGGTCCCTTCCCTGGTGCAGGCACTGTGGGGGACAGAGGTGAGCAAAACCCATCCCCGCACGAGCCTGCCCACTGGACCTCCATTAGGCCTGCTGGTGCCAACTCCTGCTTCCCAGCGCCCCCCACTTAGGGGAGTCATCCCGGACCCCTCTCCTCATCCATGACACAGCTCACGTTCATGCCTGGTGGCTTCCTGTCTCAGGCCCTTTGCACTGGCTGGTTCCCTCCACTAGAACTCGCCTCCCCCCGCCCTTCACATGACTGGCTCCTCCCGAATCTAAACATCTTCGGAGAGGCCTCCCCTGACCCAACCATCACGGCACAGCCGCCATCACCACTGCCTGCCATCTGTAGCACAGCCCGGACTTCTTTTCCTTCTGTGGCACTTACCGCAGTTGATCATTACTGTATGCATTAGTTTCCTTGTTCCTGCCTGTTTCCCTGGCAGATCTGTAAGCCACATGAGGGGCAGGGATTCTGTCTGTTTTATTCCCACTGCGTTCCTATCACCTAGCCAGCCCTATTAGCCCTATTAGCCTGGCACTTAAATGGTCTAAATCATGAATTCTCAACCAGGGCGACTCAGCCCCCAGGGACGTTTAGCAGTGTGTGGAGCCGTTTGGTTTTCACAAGTGGGGGGTGCCACTGGCATCTAGTGGACAGAGGACAGGGATACTTCTAAACTTCCTCCAGTGCACAGGATAACCCCCCACAAAAAAGAATTATTCTGCCCAAAGGGTCAAGGTTGAGAAACTCTGATCTAAATAAATGGTTGTTGAATACAAGAATGAATAAAGAATGGCCGGCTCAGTGTCTCTCCTGTCCACCAGGGGGCACCATCAGCCCGCACAAAGTCAAGGATAACTCCCTTGAAAGGAGCTGCTCAGAATAACTCACGTCCAGAAAGCAACAGAATACCCCCAACAAAGACACACAACTCAACAATATACACACTCATTACCATGGGTCCACAGCTTAATGCCAAACCATCCACAGGCTCAATGGGAACGCTTAATTTCTAGCACTCCCCATGACAAATGACACAAACTGATGTCTGAGACAAAGTCACACACCCAACACACACGGCACGGCCCCACCCTGGCCCCTCTTCTCGCTGGATGAGGCCCAGCTCATGTGCACACCCAGTGTGGGCTCCTGCCCACCTCCCTCCACTGCCCCCTGGCCCTCGTGTGCAGGCTCTCCTCATCTCCCAGCTGCCAAACCCAAGGCCTTGCTTGCCCTGTCCTTCTTTTTCCTTTCCCCCCATTGGAGAAAAATTTATCAAGGCTAAAGACTGGAAACAACTGAAATGCTTAACTACTAAAGAATACGTAAATTATTTGTGGAATATCTGTATCACGAAATGAAAAGAGCAATAAAAAATATATGAACTCTAGATTTTTCAACAAAAGACGAATTTCACAAACAAATTATGGATGGTGATAATGCCATTTTTGTTGTTGTTTTGTTATTGTTACTCCACGTTTACTGAGGTATAATTAACAGATAAAAATTGTATATATTGGGCTTCCCTGGTGGCACAGTGGTTGGGAGTCCGCCTGCCGATGCAGGGGACATGGGTTCGTGCCCCGGTCCGGGAGGATCCCACATGCCGCGGAGCGGCTGGGCCCGTGAGCCATGGCCGCTGAGCCTGCGCGTCCGGAGCCTGTGCTCCGCAACAGAAGAGGCCACAACAGTGAGAGGCCCGCGTACGGAAAAATAAATAACCTCCCCATTTCCTCAGCAAATTCTCAGGCCTTCCTACAAATAATCAGGAAATAAATCAGCTGTAGATCAATCATCAAGGGCGAATAAAAACAATCATCTTTATAAAAAAAAAAAATTGTATATATTTAAGATATACAATGTGATCGATTTGATAAATCTATACCCTGTGTAATGATTCACACAATCAAGCTGATTAGAACACTTATCACCTCGCATAGTTACCTTTTATTTTGTGCTGGGAATACTTAAGGTCTAATAGCTTAGCAAATTTCAGGTATACGATATTTAATTATAGTCACCATGCTGTACATTAGATCCCAGAATTGCCCTGTCACTCGTGACCCCTCCTATGCCTAAGCATCTGCCCCCTCATCCCCAGCCTCACCTGAGCTGCCCTCTCCTTCTGTCCCACTCAGAGCCTGGCCCTTGCAGTCCCCATGCCCACCCTCTCCCCAGACGGCAGCTCCCTCACTCGTCTCACCTCCGTGTCCCAGCGTGACCCCACTCCCCAATTCACCCTCGGTCTAGTGCCTGATTATGCATCACCCCCATGTGGGTGACTTACCACCACTCCAAGCCCAATACGGTCCCTACCTGACACATCCTCCCTCTCCTGCCCTACTCCCCTGGTCTGCCAGGGACAGATACCACCAGCCTGCAGCTCAAACTTTTAGCTCTTTCCTACCCCTCCTTTCTCCCTCTCATGCAGCAACTCCTAGAGCCGCTCCCATCCTCCTTAACCCCTCCCCCTGGGACCACCAAGACCTCCTGACCCCTCCCACAATATTGGTAATTTCTTCCCTAGATGCCCTGCTCTGGGCCTCCCTCGTTCGTATCCATTAGGCAGAAGCTAAAGCATTACTTCCTCAAACCCTACTCTCATTTATGCCTCCGCACCTGAGGAACCATCAAAGGCTCCCTACTGTCCATTGGCTCAAGGTCAAAGGCTTTAGCGAAGCCATCAGAAGCCCTCTGTCCCCTGCCCTGGGCCTCACCCTCTCCACTGCCAAGCCCAGGAGGTGGGTCCATTCTCTGTCCTGACACTCAGACCCGTCTCTGGGATTTTGGAAAATGCTATCACCTGCTGCCTGGACTGCCTTCCTATTCACCTGCCCCTTCCTATTCATCCTTCAAAGATTTCAAACACCTGCTCCAGTCCCCAGCATCCTCTCCTTCCTCATCAAACAATCTGGTCCTTGATGAGAAGCAGCTTTTTCTCTTGTCCACTATTTCACACGTACTCATCTTGTCTCCCTAGCTCCTTCCCAAGGACAGGAAGACTATCTTACATTTTCACATACAGCTTCAGAGTACTGTTGACTCATGGGACTTCACTGTCCAGATCCATGGTTTTCCAAAACATCTTTTCCAGCAGAGTGCTTTTTGTCAAGTGAAACGATACATGAAAACCCAATATGAAAAAAACCAACATAAAAAAGCAGACAGAGCAATGCAGGTTACTCTAGATGGGGGGTCCTGGCCTCCCACAGCACCTCTGGGGAACCTTAGGGTTCTGGGAAACACTGGCCCTGCTGCAGACTCTTTTGTTTTGTTGAAATATTTATTTGGATATTTCCCCCAGTTTTACTGAGATATAATTGACATATAACCCTCTGTAAACTCTTTTTTTTTTTTGGCTTAAATAACAGAAATTTCTTTTCTCACAACTCTGGAGGCTGGGAAATCTAAGAACAAGGTGCCGGCCCATTCAGTTTTTGATGAGGGCTCCCTTCCTGGTTTGCAGGCAGTCACCTTCTTGCTGTGTCCTTACAAGATGGAGCAGGTGAGGCAGGGAGCTCCCTGGTGTCTCCTTTCACAAGGACACTAATCCTATTGTACCAGGGCCCTGACTTTATGACTTCATTTAACCTTAATTACCTCCTAATCGGCCCTATCTCCAAATACACTCATCTTGGGAGTTAGGGCTTCAACGTATAAATTTTGGGAGGACACAATTCAGTTCACAGCACGAGAGAAAGAGGAGATGATTGTTAGAGCAGAATTCTGGAGGAATCCAGAATTCTCCAAAAGAGGATTGTGAACACTGTTTAGAGATATTAACATTTCTCTCTATAGCAGAAATGACGAGTTGTAGTGAAAAGTACGGAAACATTTTTAGACAGGACAGACATTTGGGGAGTCTGCATTAGACGGCCTAGATCTTCTTTGGAATGCTGCACTCTACCTCCTTGGTCTGCTGTTATCCACTTTTCAGAGTTATTTGATAGTTACTTTATTTGTTCTGTCCAGGATTTTTAGATGTAATCAGTAGGGAAGATTGGACAGAGTGTGTTTGCTCTATCTTAACTGGAACCAGAGCCCCGGTATGTAATTTTTTATTCCTGCTCTAAACACATCATTTTTTAAAATTGAGGTCTAGCTGATGTACAGTATTATATGTTTCAGGGGTACAGCATAGTGATTCACAATTTTTAAAGGTTATATTCCATTTATAGTTACTATAACCTGCTGCAAACTCTTGTGTGGTTGTCAGATCCCTTCACGAGCTGCTTTTGTCTCATCTGATCAGCCACCCACGTTGCTGGACGCTCCAGCAAACACCATATACTCCCCTTCTAACCAGGTGTCTGCAAACCTTGGCCCGTAGGTCAAATCCAGCCAACGACCTGATTTTGTGTGGCCCTTGAGCTAAGAATGGGTTTTGCATCTTTAAAAGACTGTGAAGAAAAAGAAGTAAGAGAAGGAAAAGGATAAGGAAGAGGAGGGTTTGCAACAGACCATGTGGTAACCAAAGCCCTGGAATACTTGCTACCTGGCCCTTTACAGAGAAGGTATGGTGACTGCCGGCAAACCTTAGGGGCCCACGCCTTTCCCCAGGCTGTTCCCTCTGCCTGGAGTGCCCTTTCCTGGCTTTTTCTGGCTTTTTGTGGACTCTATTCATCCTCAGGGCCCAAAAAACTGTCACCTGCCAGCCTCTGTCTCCGGGCTCTCAGGCCATGGCTGCAGCTGGGGTGATGCCCTTCCCCACGGCTGGCCTGCAAAGGCAAGTTGCGTCTTGCCCGCCTTGGGGCCCTGACCCAGTGCCAGGCACAACACAGGGTACAATGAACACAACAGACACCACCACATTGGCCCCCCCTTCCATAGGCCGACGTCCCCCAGTCGCACTCACCTCATCCTGCAGGTTGATGTCCCCGGGGCCACGGTTGAGCTGCTCCTGCAGGCTGGACACCACTGCGTTGTTGCCTGGCACCCGGTAAATGCCCGTGGACTCCAGCCCCCGTGCCTCCACAATGCGACAGCATGCAGCCACGATCAGGGGGACACGCTGGGGACACAGCAGGGCAGGGGTGTTAGGAAGAGTAAGAACAGCATTCTCTGGGAGAAAATACTTGCAAATGATATGACCGACTAATAAGGGATTAATAGCCAACATACATAAACAGCTCATACAACTCAACCTCAAAAATACAAACGACCTGGGAATTCGCTGGCGGTCCAGTGGTTAGGACTCTGCACTTCCACTGCTGGGGGCCCAGGTTCGATCCCTGGTCAGGGAACTAAGATCCCACAGGCCGCGAGACACGGCCAAAAAAACCACAAAGACCCGATTTAAAAAATGGGCAGAAGAACTGAAGAGACATTTTTCCAAAGAGGAAATGCAGATGGCCAAGATGCACATGCAAAGATGCTCAACATCGCCAGTCATCAGGGAAATGCAAATCAAAACCACAATGAGATATCAGTTCACACCTGTCAGAATGGCTGTCATCAAAAAGGCCACGAATAACAAATGTTGGCGAGGATGTGGAGAAAAGGGAACCCTCGTACACTGTTGGTGGGAATGTAAATTGGTGCAGCCACTGTGGAAAACGGTATGGAGGTTTCACAAAAAAACTAAAAGTAGAGCTACCATATGACCCAGCAATTCCACTCCTCGGTATAGATCCAAAAAAAACAAAAACACTAATTCGAAAAGACACATGCACCCCAGTGTTCACAGCAATATTATTTACAATTGCCAAGATACGGAAGCAAACTAAATGTCCATCAAAGATGAATGGACAATGGAATACTACTCAGTCATAAAAAAGAATGAAATTTTGCCATTTGCAGCAACATGGATGGACCTGGAGGGCATTATGCTACGTGAAATAAGTCAGAGAGAAAAAGACAAATACTGTATGATATCATTTTATATGTGGAATCTAAAAAATAAAACACACTAGTGAATATAACAAAAAAGCAGCAGACTCACAGATACAGAGAACAAACCAGTGGTTACCAGTGGGGAGAGGAAAGAGGGGGGGAGAAGTAAAGGGCTAGGGAATTAAGAGGTACGAACTCTTAGGTAGAAAATAAGCTACAAGGATATACTGTACAACAGAGGGAATATAGCCAACATTTTATAATGACTATAAATGGAGTATAACCTTTAAAAACTGTGAATCACTACATCGTACACCTGTAACTTATATAATATTGTACAGCAACTACACTTCAATAGAAGAAAAAAAGAACAGCATTCTCCACCAGTGGGCCAGAGGTAGGGAGGACAAGATGGGGGCAGTGCAAGGCCAGACCCCAGGGGTTCTGGTGGTTACTAAGGCTCTCACTGTCTCCGGTCTGGGAGCAGAAATCGCACCAAAGCCTCGCCATGATCTGAGAAAGAACGCCAGCTGGGTGTCAGGGATTCTGGGCTCTGTCTCAACTCTGCTGCTCCCTCGCAGGGCTGCTTCCCCAGCTGTGTCTGTAAGACGCGGTGGAGGGCTGGCTCCAAAGTCCCTTGCAGCTCTGACCCTCTGTGCCTCGGTCTCCCCACTTCCCTGCTGGCTCTGGAGCACGGTGGGAACCCACCTGGTTCTCTGTGGCTGGCTGGCACTCCTCCAGTCGGACCCCAAATGCTCTGGGGGCTGCCTTCTTGTTCTTCTTGATGATGTTGATGCCCCAGGGGGTTTTGGGGGTGGAGACACTGTCATCTGGGGTTGGGGAAGGCAGAGAGAGGCAGGGTGAGCTGGGGGCCCGGCGAGGGGCAGCCACCACACTAGGTCACACACACTCACACACCACATTCACACACTGGACGTATGGGGACTCCGTCAGAGAAGCAACCGGCATGCTGAGGGCTGATGGCAAATTATAATATCCCGGCAGAGAAGGCCGAAGAGATGAGGGTGTCTACCCTGGAGGAGAGAGGTCTCAGAGTAATATGAGGACTCCTGTATGGCTAAAACAACAAGGTGGGAGCCATAGATTCTGGTACAGCCGAAGGAAGAACTTTCTAATGGCCAAAAGTGTGTGAAGATGGAAAAGGCTGCCTGCAGAGAGGATGAGGCTCCTGCTCCTGAAGGGACACAAGCGGAGACCGGAGGACCACACAGCTGGGATGTCATGGAGGGAAATCAGGCTCCAGGCCCTTCCAGCCCCGAGACCCTGAGGGCCCCCGGACCCTCACAGGCATGCACACATGGGCAGACACACGAGGATAACCATGGCACACACCTACAGGGACACACACTGCCTGACACACACACGCAGGCCCTCCGCTCCCATGCAGACCCACAGGCTGACCCGCCCTCCCCACGCATGGGTGCACACCACCCCCTTAGCAGCCACCTTCCTACCCTTGCTCCCTGCAGGCTGGTCCTGAGTCCTGAGGCCACGTGCTGTACTCTGTTTGAGGAACTCAGACTTGAGGCCCCCCAGGCCACGAGAGCCTTTGGGGGAGGAATCAGCTTTGGGCCCAGAGCTATGGCTGTGTGGGAAGAGGGGAGAGGTCTTCACTGGGGTGACCCAGCACGCCACCTGCACTGGCCTCCCACCTCTTCGGACCTCCCCTCCATCCTGTCCATGCCCTTCTGGGGACTGGAGGCCTCAATGCCCCTGCCACCCTCCCTGCTCCCAGCAGAGGGCAGTTCAGGGGCCACCCTCAGGTCTGAAGGTGGGCCAGGAGGACGACCTCTGCCCAAGGTTCTCCCACCCCATGGCCAGGACTGCTCCATGAGGGCTGGGCCTCACCTCACTTTGCGATAATCATTAAGCTTCTTGCTGATCAGAGCTTGGTTGGCACAGCCGGGGTCCTGGAGGAGGCGGAAGAGAAAGCAGACCCCATCAGTGCCCATGGCCAGCCCACCCAGGGCTTCTCCGTGGCCCCTGCCTCGGCCTCGCCTCCCCTCTCCTCCACCTGCCAGCTGACGGGTGCAGACCCTGGAGCGAGGAAGACCAGGGCTGGACTCCCGAGCACCCCCTCACCAGCTGTGTGACCTTGGGCAATCCACTTAGCCTCTCTGAGCCTTAGTCTCCTCAGCAGTGACATGGGGAGACAACGTGGCAACCTCAGGGTTAGGGTGCGGAATTATGCACGTAGCACTCATCATAGTCCTGGCAAGACACGGATGAGGTGCCCCATGAGGGGCAGCTATTGCAATAATTAAGGTGACTTGGGACCCTCAGATAGTGCCTGTCGGGGACAGCCCAGCCAGTTCCCCCAGAAAAGGGCCCCAAATTTCAGGAGCTTTCCTCCTTGCAGTGAGGAACGACAATGTCCTGGGGAGGCAGAGCCTGGTCCAGTGAGATGGTATCCTCAGCGTGCACTAGCACCCCTCTACCTGTGGCCAGAGCAGTTGCATGTCTGGACCAGGGCCCAAGCCACACCTCTTGGCAGAGACCAGCCGTCAAGCCCAGGACCCCCACATAACTGTGCAGGTGTCCAGAGGCATCTGGCGGAGGGGGTGGGCGGAGGCAGAAAGCCCAGCCCAGGCTCCTAGTGTGCAGCTGCAGCTGCCCAGGAGGGGGCGTCATTTAAAAATGCTCCTGGAGTCCCTGCCAAAGCCCTTGGCTCAGTCCCTGCTGCCTGCTGCCAAAGGCCAATCCTCTTGGCCTCCTCCCAAGGTCAATGTGTTTGTGCCCCTGCAGACAGGCCAGCCCTGTCAGAGGGGCCAGCCACAGTTTTGGCCCAGGGGCACCCCTTTCTGTAATAATTCCATAGAAGACCCCCGCCTTCCAAACCTCCAGCAGCTAGAGGCTGAGGTTGGCCGGGAGCTGACCCCTCTGTGCCAGAGCCTGCCCAAGGCAGTCATAACGATGACGGTAATAACAATTACTGTCGTTCCTACAGCTATTATTGTTCCTGCCAGTCATGGAACACTAAAGACGCCAGGTCCTCTGCGAGCCACTGCCCCAAGCATCGTCTCTTCACACCAAACCCTTGGAGGGCACGGTTGCAAGGTGTACTCCTGTCAGCCCATTTTATGTAGGAGGGGACTGAGGCTCAGAGCGGTGAAGGGAGGATCCCGGCAGGCGAGAGGCGCCCGGGGCCTGCCCTGCCCTCCCTGGCCCGGCTGGGGCCGGGCCGGGCCCTCACCTCGCCCTCGGCCCTGCTGTTCTCTCGGATCGCTCTGATCCAGCCCAGCATGTCATCCCGGTCCTCAGCCTGAAAGAGATATTCACAGAAGTCAGCGGTGGTCAGCCGGAACACGTGCCTCCTCTTGGTCTCGCTGTAGGAGATGTCCACCAGGCAGGAGCCGATGCAGACGGGCGCCGCCTCGTCCTCACCTGCGACGGCCGCCGCCGCCCCCGCCGCCGCCGGCCCGGGCTCCCGCCGCTCCTTGCTCAGCGAGAGCGAGCGCGCCCGCAGCGCGGCGTACACCCGCTTCCACTGGCGCAGGCCGCCGCCCGCTTTCTGCAGGGAGACACGGGGAGAGGGGGAGAGAGGGGAGGGGGAGGGGGTGAGAAGCCAGGCCTGCCCTCCTCCCCGCCCCCAGGGCCCAAGGGGGCCCTAGGCGCTGCAGACGGTGGACAGCAGTGGGGACCCCACCCCACTGGCCGCCGGGAGCCCCCTGCTCCACTCCCGCCGGCACCTGGGGCAGCCTCCTGCCCACAGTCCCCCAAGTCTCTCAGCCCCTCACCGGCCTGGACACCCGTACCCATCGTTCTCAGTCCCCGCAGAGGGTCCCCAACCTTCTCTTTAACGCTCCTCTGCCGTTGGCAATGCCCCCAGAGAACCAGCAGGGGGCTCCAGAGGGCAATCAGGCCCCCCCCCCACACACACACACAAACATGCCCCACCTTTTACATAAAATCCTCCTAAGCCATTCCTGGTCCACATACTGCTTGCCTCCGGGCGAAGCTAGTCAAAAGTTGTCAACCACACTTGCCCTCCCCGCTTCTCTGCCTCTCACTCAAGACTCCACTCAGTATCCCCTTCCTGGGAAGCTGCTCGCCAGGTCACCCGGCCGCCATGTTGCCAAAGCCAGTGGCAGCGTCTGGGCACTTCTCAGCCCTTTGCTTAGCCTCTTGGTGGCATACGACCCAGCTAGCGGTCACTTCTTCCCTCTCCAAACTCTCTCTTGGCACCCGGGACCCTACGGCTCGTGGTTTTCCTCCTACCTCCGCTGGCTCCTTCTCTGGTCCCCTCCACCCAACATACTCTACACCAGCGGCTCTCAACCAGAGCAAAGAGCCATCAGGGGGCATTTGTCTGAAGACATTTTCAGTTGTCGCACCTGGGGAAATGCTATGACATCTAGTGGGCAGAGGCCAAGGATGCTGCTAAACATGTCGGATGCCCAGGACAGCCCCACAGCAAAGAATCATCTGGTCCAAAATGTCAACAGTGCTGAGGCTGACAGTCCCTGCCCTAAAGGAAGGGGAGCTCCAGAACTTTGTCCTCGGCCCTCCTCCTCCTGCATGCCTCCCCCATGATGCCATCCACACCCATGGCTTTAAATCCTGTCTGTCTGCTGATGGTGATGCCCAGATGTACCCCGGGCCCAGCATCTCCCCCGAGCCACACTCCAGTACCTCCAACTGTGTGCTCAGTGTCTCCATCTGCATGCCCCACGGGCACTGCAGGTGCTGCTTGCTCACTACGGGGGCCCTTGATTTTCCCCATCAAGCCTGTTCTCCACCCCCACCTCCATCTTTTCCAGCTCAGTAAATCCACCCAGTTGCCCAGAAACTTGGGAGCTGCCCTTGACTCCTCCTCGTTCTTCACCCCTGACATCCAACCCATCAGGAAATCACAACTGTTCTGCTTCCAAAATATCACCTGTCTCCATCTTTCCTGCCACCACCTTGCCCACACCATCAACACCTCTTGCCTGGACCACTGCACGAACCATCCCAGGCTCCACTCTCCTTCCTGCAACCTATTCTCCACGCAGCAGCTGCAGTGATCATTTGAAAGTGTAAACGAAGTCCTGTCTCTCCCCTGCTTAGTGCCCTCTCATGGCTTCCCATCGCCCTTGGAATCAAGTCTAAGCTCTTCTGTGATCTGGTCCCTGCCTCTCCTAACCCATCCCTCTTTCTTTCTCACGATGTCGAGACACAGGGGGCTTTTCCAGTGAACAAGCCAAGCCCTTCCTTTCCCGGGGCCTCTGCACGTGCTATTCCTTCTGCCCAGAGCCCCTTCTCTTGCTTCTTCACGTGGCTGCTTCCTTCTCGCCCTTAAGGTCTGAGCTCAAGGTCATCAACATCACCTCCTCAGCGAGGCCGCCTCTAAGCATTTTTCCCCTAATGGCAGCTCCCGGCTTCCTCCCAACTTAAAGGCAATCACATCACCCTGTTCATATTCCCTGAGTGCCCACTGCAGTCTCAGGTTACTGGCTGTGGGTGGCTTTCTCCAGTACAGAGAAAGCTCCTGGCGCAGGGAGCTTGTCTGCCCTCTCACCTCCATACTCCTGGGCCTAGAGCCATGCTGGCACAGGGTAAGTGCTCATCAATATTTACTGAATAAATGAATTAATCGGCCTCGGAACACCCTGCAGGCGGGGGTTCCATCTCCCCCATCAGATCAAGGGCTCCTTTCCTCTGGCTCACAGCCCACCTACGACTCCACACCCAGCCCAAGCTTCTATCTTCAGAGCAAACCAGATGAGGAGACTTCATGGCTGGCAGGTGAACATAGCCACATCGGGCCATGAACCCTGCCCATCATCACATACCTGCTGGACCCAGGCAGGGACGTTCAGAGCAGGAGACAGTAGGGCCCTCCAGGAGAAGTTTAGTGTCAGAGTGAGGTGGTGACAAGGATGCCCCTTTGAGACTGAACCAGCTAGCTGACCTTGGATAAGTCAGGCCCCCTCCCCTAGCATCAGTATGCCCTACTGGTAAAAATGAGAGGTGAGCCAGCTGGTCTCCAAGTCGCATCCAGCTCAAATGCTGGGTCTGTGGCTGCAAGGATGGGTCATACCCACCCACGCCCTCCTCCGCCTGACAGTCAGTGGTCTCCAAAAGAGACTGGGAGCTGGGGGTGGGGAGAGCTGGACTTGCTGAAGCAGACAACATCTGGCTGGCGATCAGGACCCTGGACAGACCGAGAGACCAGATGGGAGTGGAAAGCCCTCTCCTTCAGAACTGGCCAGTGAGCAGGAAGGGGCCAGGTCCTCTCCCTGCCCAGGAGACACTGCGGCTGGGCTGCCAGAGGCCACCCAGAGCTGGGGGCAGGCTATGTGGCAGGCACAAGCCAGCAGTTGTCACCAGGCCCTCCGAAGGGCTCAAGCCTTGGGCTGGAAGTCTTCGTCCACACCGGGCTCCTCCTCCTTGGTCTCAGTCCCCCACTTCCTCCCGAGGCCCGGCCGTCTCTTGCTTTCTCCCTCAGTGTTCCCGCGCCCATGGCTGCAGGTGCTTGTGTCCTCTCTGATGGACAAATGCCCTCCCCAGGTGGACCTCCCTCCCAATGCCACACCCTCAGAGCCTCTGTTGCCAGGACAACTCCGCAGAAGTATGCACCAGGGCCCTCAGACTCCATAGGCCCCAAAGGAACCTCTTGGCTTCCTCTCCCCAAACCTGCCCCTCCGGTGCCCTGTGGCTCTGGGAAGGGTCCCACCACTCTCTGACCCCACAGCCCAAGCTGGGACCCCAAGAACCTCCTCCATCCTCCCTCACCTCCCAGCCCTCAGCCCGCCCAGGCTTTCCTTACCCCTGAATCTCTCTAAGGTGTCCCCTCCCCTTGGTCCCACTCCCCTCGCTCACCTGGACAGCAGCAATGGCCTTGTCTCTTCCTGTCACAGATGCAACACTTGCCTCCTGGGCTCACACCTCCCACACCCCACCCTTTAAATGCCTGCAAAGGCTCACCCTGAGCGATGCGCCGGCGCCCAGGCGCCCAACACCCCACCCCGCTTCCATGTCTTGCCCTGCTTCCCAGCTGCCCAGCACCCCCTGCCACCCTTCTCCTAGCTGTGCAGGAGGGCATCTCCCCTGTCAGACCACACCCCCACCTCCCTGCTTTGTGTGGACTCCCACACACCCTTCACAGCCTTCCAGACACCCCCTCCCACCCTGCTAAGGTCAGGGTCATATGCTACTATACGCTGCTCCCCTGAACTCCCCCATCACAGCAGTCAAGCACTGGTAACTGGTAAGCAACAAATGCTTTCTCTGCCCAGCAGGAACCCCAGCAGGGCAGGACTGGCCTGGCTCCCTCACCACTGAATCCCCGGAACCTCAACGGAGAATTGGAGCAGGGCAGGCTGTTCATCATTATCCGCGGGCTGGACGAGGGCACAGATGAGTGCCGGTCCTGCCTGGACTACACTTCTCACTTCACCCTCACACTGGCCCTTGGAGCAGACTAACACTGTCCCCATCTTACAGATCAGAAAAGTGAGGCTCAGACGTTAAGGGGGTTGCCTGAAGCCTTATGCTTGATAAGTGGCTGGGCAGGAATTCCAAATCTGTCTGACTTCAAAGCTTATGTTCTTTTCAGGTACAAGACCCTTAGAAGGCAGGGTGGAAAATTCAGATAATAGCAATAAGCAGAATAGCTGCTCCCGGGGGCCAGGCACTGGGTAAGCTCTTTTTGCTTAGATCATCTCATTTAATCCTCAGCAAGGGTGTATGAGCTAAGGATTATTATTTGCTCCATTTACATACGAGGAAACTGGTAGGTGAGCCAAACAAGCTCCCCCAGCAACTCGTGGCGCAGTGAGAAGCCAAGCCCAGGTTCATGCTAACCACTCTGCTCCACTTTGCCTGGGCCGCTCGGGTGACAGCAGTAGGGCGGCCTCCTCCTCCCTCTTCGGCTACCTGGAACCTGGGATTGTACTCCATGGACCCAGGGGCCCCGCCTTCTCCCCTTGGGATCCTGCTTATCTCCCGGCCTCAGGCCCAAGCCCCCTTCATCTCTCACCTGGATCTCTGTGGCGGCCCCGAACTGGTCTTCTTGCCTCCCTCTGGCCCTCTCTTTATTCACTCCCCAGTAAGCCCAGTGGAAGAGGCCCCAGGGGCTTTTAGTTGCCCTTAGGATGAAGACTAGATCCTTTGCTGGCCTTGAAAAGGCTAACCTCTGCTTTCTTTGGGGGCTTCAGCTCCCCTAAAAGAATCACCCTGGGCTTGCTCTCTCATTTACCATGAGCCCCAGTGGCCATTTTGGGGGTGATCTGCCAACCAAGGATCAACCATGGGATGGTTCTGTCAGAATTCCAAGCACAACTGGATCAGATCCACCGCACAGCAAAGACCACCTCTCTGGTTAACTCTTTTTCATGAGTTCTTTAGGACCCCTAGGAAGTTCTTCCTAGCATCTAACCTCTACCCCTCACGCTGCAGCCTCAGCTGGCTCTCCTTAGCTCCGGAGAGTGGGTGTAGGAAAACTTCCATCCACCTCCAGCTCATTCCTCCAGCCATCTTACCTTCCCCTTCTTGGTGAGGACCTGCTTATAATACAACCAGCCTTCTCTCCTGATGTCACTGAAGGTTGCGTCCGAGAGGTCAGAGGTTGAGTGTCGCTTGGAAGGAGCGTCAGCATCTTCGGAAGTGCCCCAGCTATCCAAGGACTGCAGAGAGACGACAGAGGGCAATTTAGGGTGGCTCCCACAGAGCCAGCATCTCAGAAACCCCACGGACCACTTGCAGCCACAAGGGCCTGGCATCTGCCTGTGCTACGCTCTGCTGTGCTGTGTGGCCTCATGGGCCTTGCTTACCCTCTCTGACCCATCTGTGTTGAGGTCATGAGACATATGTGATGGGGAAGCCAGAAAGGAGGAAAGGCTATGATCTGCAGGCCACATGCCTCACCACGCTTAACTTTATAGACTTGAAGGAACTAAGGAAGCAGAGGAAGTGAGTTGTGTCCACATGGAGTTACATAAACAGAGGAAGTGGGAACATCAACAAAGACCGAGTTAGTGGAGCAGGTAGTCATGTCCACAAGGAGTTAAACAGAAGAAGTGATAGTGTCAGCAGGACTCCAGCAGTAGAGGTGACAGGTCAAGGGATAGTTAAGTAAGCAGAGGACATGATAAGGAATAAGCCAGGTGACATCTGAAATCAATATGCCTTTTCCAACCCATCCATAATCAAAAAGATTTAAGGTCATTTCAGAACTGATTCTGTGTCGGGACTTCGCTGGTTGTCCAGTGGTTAAGATTCTACTCTCCCAACGCAGGGGGCCTGAGTTTGATCCCTGTTCAGGGCACTAGATCCCGCATGCTGCAACTAAAGATCCCGCACGAGGCAACGAAGATCCCACACGAGGCAACGAAGATCCCGCAGGCCACAACTAAGACTCGGCACAGCCAGGTCCTGAGACTGGAAATTTTGGCCTCTCCATCGCTCTCAACCCTGTGTGTCCCCGCCTTTCCAGGGTGTCCCCTGTCCCCTGAAGATACCATGCAAATACTGACCCAGTGCCTCCACAGTGTAGGCACTGTTTTAGGTATGCAGAGGGGTCAAACAGTGAATAAGACGAATGAAATCCCTGCCCTCATGGAGCTTACATTCAAGCTGGGGAGACAGGCAAGAAAGGAGATGGATGCACAAACTGTGTAACCTGAGAAGTGCTAGGAGAAAAGCAGAGTGGTGAGGGGAGGCACAAAATATCAGGCATAAAGGTTGAAATTTCACAGAAGGCCTAAAAACATCTAAAGAAAGTGAAAAAGTGAGTCATGGGGCATGTGGGCCGTGGAAAGGGCCGTCTAGATGGGAGATGGGGGAGGCGCGGCTGGAAAGCAGAGGCCTTGGGAAGGAAGGCTCACGGTGTCTTTAGGTGATGACTGAGCCCACAGAGAGGGTGGGTCACATGGCCGACACGAGGTGAGTGTGGGGACAGCCGAGGCCGGAAGGAGATGGGAGCCAGAGGGGCCCATTTCGGGTTGCAGGAGTCACAGGCCGGGTCTCTCTGCCGAGGCTGGACTCCACAGCTGAGGGGTGGGCCCCTGGGCCCCTCCCCAGACCTCCGACACCCTCGCCCACACACATGTGCCACTCACCCCATCAGTTAAGAAGCTTCGGAGCACCCGCAGGCTGGGCACGCGGTTCGGCAGGCGTCTGTGGGGTGAGGACAGAGGATGAGGGCTGTGGGAGGCACAGCCAGGACCTCCCACAAGCCCCAAGGCTCAAAGGCCCTCCGGGGGGGAAGCAGGCTGCCCCGGTGTGTAGACGACCGCAGGGCCAAGAGCCCCTCCAGAGCCCCCATCCTCACCGCAGAGCCCGGCCCTCGTCCCGGAAGGTGTTGAGCCCGTCGTCGCAGGACTTGGAGCGTTCGGTGGTGATGGCCAGCAGGTAGGAGGAGCGCCGGCCGGCCTTGATGCTGCCTGTGAAGCCGCCCACAGGGGCCCAGAGTCAGCAGGGCAGCAGGCGGGGGCTTCCCCAGATCCCTCCTGTCCGGGCAGGGCCAAGAGGGGACTCTCCCCGTGGGTCCCCAGGAGAAGCAGAAGCCAGTCGGAAGAGGCCAGACATCAGGCAGCGGGCACCCCTGGGACCAGGCAGCAAGGGAGCGGGTGGGGCTGGGGGTGCGGGCAGCACTCACTGCAGTCCTGGGAGTAATGGCGGCCGAGGGCAAAGGTGAAGGTTGGGGAGGAGGGGCTGGTGCCCAGGACAGGGGCTGAGTTCATGGCGCTGGAGACCACAGCAGAAGCAGGGACGTGCTTGGCTTGGAGGTCAATGCTGGGGCTGGTGGGCTCATCTGCGAGAGCGGAAGGAGCAGTGGGTGACGGTACCAGAAGGCTGAACCTGTCTGTCCCTCCGGCCCCAACCTCCCATCCGCGCCGGGACCACATCCCCAAGGCTCCAGAAGCCCTCCAGGGCCCTGCTGGCAACATGCCCACTGCCGAGGGAGCTGACCCACCATGGGTCACCTCCCACTGTGGTCACGGAGGCTCAGCCTCTGCCTCCTCCATCACACTGAGGGCACCCAGGAGTGGGGTCGAGCCACGTCTCTTAGTCCTGGCCGGGAGGCAGGCCTCTCTGAGGCCATGGCTGGTGTCTCCCCCATCAGACTGGGAGCTTCTTGAGGATAAGGACCATCTCCCCCATCAGCTGGGGGCTCCTTGAAGATGGCTGCCACGTCCCCCCACCCCCCACAGACTGGTAGGACCCTGAAACTAAAGACTTTACCTCCCGCCCTCAGACTGGGAGCTTACTGAGACAAGAGGCTGCGTCTGCCCTGTTAGACTGAAGGCTGGCTGAGGGGGCCAGGGCTGTGCCTCCTCTCCTGGCCGGGGGTTCCTTCTCCGCCACTCCCATGGCTACCCTAGGGTGAGCTCACCACTCTCAACCCGTTACCATCTCTGGGCTCCTGCACCCCAGTCTTCCTCCCAAGCCCCTAGACCCAGCCCTGTTAATCCTGCTCCCTCCATGAGTGCCTCTTATTCAGCCGAAACCTCTTCCTGCCTCGCTCCCTCTCTTTCCCAATATGGAGGTGAAGCTCCACCCTCCTGCAAGGCCAGAAACCTGGGAATCACTGACCCCTCCACTCTCTTGCCTCTCCCTTACCCAACATCTATTCTAAAGGTGGCAAATTTTCAGTACTCCCTCTCCTCTCAGAATGAAATCCCAACTCCCCAGTGACTGACAAGGCCCCTCCAGACCTGTTCCGATGACCTGGAAGGGCATCCTACCTCTCACTTCAGGGTCTTTGCATATTCTAGTCTCTCTCCCTGAACACTCTTACCCTGAATAACTCCTTCAAGTCTTAGCCGAAATTTCCTTTTTCTCCAAGATTCTCTCCTTGGCCACCATGCCCCGGTCTAGCCCTTCTCTGCCTCCTAGAGCTCCCTGTACTCCTATCACACACCCATTCAACTGGATCGTTCTTGTCTGATCATCCGTTCCCATGGTTGGGTCACACACTCCAGGAGAGCACGGAGCCTAGCACAGTGCCTGACACAAATACGTGTTGGATGAATGGAGAGATGGAGGGTGGACAGAAAGAACAAAGAGTGAAAGGAACAAAGGAAGGATGGAAAAGAAAGAATGAAAGGATGGAAGGACAGGTGAAAGGGAGGAAGAATGGAAGGAAGGAGGGAGGAGGAGGGAGGGAAGGAGAGAAGGAAGGGAGGGAGAAGGGAGGGGGAAGTAAAGGTGGATGGAAAGAAGGCTGGAAGGGTCAATGAATGGGAGGAAGGATGACGGGATGATGGAAGGGAGACAGGAGGATGGATGGAGGAATGCAAGAATGGACAGTTGGATGGACAGATGGACGGACAAAGAAACGGGTTGATCCCATCAGCACCCAACCCAGAGTTTTGCCCATGGTGGCAGGTGGGTAAAGTACAACAGGGCACAGAAAACCAAGTCTCTCAAGACAGCCACCTGCACCATCACTCACCGATGAAGGGAATGGAAGCCAGAGAGTCGTCAGTAGTGGCCAAAGGGGCCACCTTTCTGCCCAGGCGTTCCCCTCGCCCACTGGCCTCTGGCTCTGGGGACTCGTCACCAAACCCAAGGTTCATCTGTCTGGAAGGGGGCAGCTGGACCTTGCGGCCCGTTGGCGGCTTCTGCCTCAGGACCACTTCGTCACGGCGATCCTCGGCGGGAGGCTCCAAGGCCCTGGTGCTGGGTTCTGGTCGGACAACTCTTGGTGGTTCAGAGGCCTCCGGTGGGAATGGTGCAGGGGACTGGGCCAAGTTGAAGGTGGGCAGTCCCCCAAAGGGCGAGTCCCGGAAGGAGAGGGCATGCAGAAGGCCAGTCCGGCGCTGGAATGATGGGCTATAGCTCCGGTATCCGATATACCCAGTGTCGTCCAGGCCCTGCAGGCCAGGCGGGGGTGGGGCCTGGGGCCCGGGCAGGTCCCTGGGTGGGCAGGCAGGGGTGCGGGCAGACGGACGCTGGGAAGCCCAGCCACAGCGCTCGAAGCGGGGTGACACCAGTGCCCCTGGCCCAAGCGCCTCGGCTGAGCGGGTGGCCCGGCTCAGGTAGTCGTCTGAGCGAGCGCGGTGCCAGCCCTCCTGGCCCAGCTGGCTCAAGGCACCCTGGGAGGTGGAGCAGGGCCACGGGCGGTGGGCAGTCACATCCTCCAGCCGGTCCTGGGAGGCACTGCGGGCCCGGGGGGGCATGGCGGGGCACCGTCTCTCCCCCGCCCTGCGGGGTACTTGGTTCGACAGCCAGTGTGACAAGGCCTGCTGGCACTCCAGTCTGCTGGGGGGCACCCGGCTGCCAGGCTCCGGGAAGGCACGAAGCGTCCGGGGCTCCGAGGGGAGGGGGGGGAAGGCACCAGGGCTGGGGCGGGGCTGGCTCATCCCCAAGGAAGGGTTGTCCGGATGGGAGCGGGCAGTAGACGGGATGCGGGGCCCCGGGTCACTCCATGCAGCAGGACTCCGCGCGTCACTGGGCAGTGCTGAGAGCGGCTCAGGCACCATAGTGGCCAAGGTAGAGACCCGGGCCGGCGGGGCATAGGTCTTTCGAGGGTAGCAGATTGGGGGTGGCTCTGGGATGCTCCGGGCCTCTCCAGAATACGGCTTGTTCCCCTTCAGGTAGGCGTCCTGGGAGTAGGCCTGGCCAGGGACACAGAAGCAGGTAAGCAGGTCTGAACAGGCCTCACAGGGGAAGGCTACAGCAGCCCCTGGAGATCAAGGTCTCCAGAGAAGGGGACTGAAGGGAAGGGACCAAGCAGGGGGAGTCCTGAGTGGGTGGGGGTGAGAGGGCATGCTCCAAAGAGAGTCAGGGGGAGGACAAAGAAATAAGAGGCCTTTGAGAGTCTTACACACACACACACACACACACACACACACACACACACACCCTCTCTCTCTCTCTCTCTCTCTCTCTCTCTCTCACACACACACACTCACTTGAGAAAGAGCCAGGATTTTTCTAAGACTTATGACAAGGACTGCCTTTAGCCACAAACATTCCAACATCTGTTTTCTGGGGTCCTCCCCCGATGCTGGCCTCAGCTGCCTCCCTGCTTTCTTATGTCCAATGGTGCCCACAGACCCTCGGGTGGAGCTGGGAAACCCTACCAGAGACCAGTCAAGGTGGCAGATGACAGGGGAGGAAGCGGCCCAAGGGGTGTGTCCAGGGTGGGGTGGGCTGGGGGTGGGCAGGGGCTGGGAGAGCCCAGCTGTCCCTCCATCCCCTGGATGGGAAGCTGAGGGCCTGGCTCCTGGGCCACTGGGGTGGGGAGGAACTTGCTTCTCTGGGCCAGGCTTGGGGGAGGGGCCAGACTGGCTAAGGGGCCTTGGGCCACCTTCTGGCACCCCAGGCCTGGAATTTGGCGCTGGGAGCTGAGGCTGACGCTGCATTGCTGAGGAGTGACAGGGCCGGGGGCCGGCGCCCAGCCCCAGCCAAAAAAGGAGGTGGCCCCCAGGGACAGCAGCCTTGTGGCCCCGGCCTAGCCTGGCCCATGATGGGCTGCCCAGGGGCCTATCTCAGGGTGAGGCATCAAAGAGGGAGGGTGAAACCAAACACACACACACACACACACACACATCACAAGGAGACACAGGAAAATACACACCCAGAGACACACTCACACACACATAGAGAAACACAATGAGACATACACACAAATAACTACACCTCCAGTCCCAGGCACACACATCATGTGATGAGGACGAGCTAAACCACACCCCTACTCAGTCAGCCCCCATCGGACCCACACCGGCCGGGGACTCTCACGGGGACTCTCACGTACCTCTCCCTCCTGCCATCCTGCCGGCTCCCCGGACTCCCCACATCACGGCAGTGGCGGCAGCATCCCGGCCCGCCTCCCCCCTCCCCCCGCCCCCCGCTAAACCCCACTGACCACTGTGCCGGCCCTGGCCTGGCCTCCGTCCCCCCAGGCTGCCCTCCCCGCGGCTGCCCTCGGGCCCCCACCGGCTCTCTCGCTGGCGGGAGGAGGAGGGAGGGGAGGATGGGTGTGGAGGGGCCTCGCCGCGTCGGCGGTGGCGTCAGCGGCTGCCGCGGCCCCATTGGCCTCCAGCCTTGGCTCC